GTGGTGTTGAGGAATTGAACCCAGGGCCTCATGCATACAAGGCAAACACTCTACCCCTGAGCCACCTTCCCAGCGCCTCTTTTGGTTTTTTATTTCATGGTACTGCAGTCTTTTGAACTCAGGGCCTTGTGTTTGGTAAACAGGCACTTTTACTGCTGAGCCACCCTTCCAGTACTGAAATTTGCCCGGTTTTTGTGTGTGTTGATCCTGGGGCTTGAATTTAGGAACTGGATGTTGTCCTAGAGTTTTTTTGCTCAGGGTTGGCACTCTACCAGTTGAGCCACAGCTCCAGTTCTGGCTTTCTAGAAATAAAAGTCTCACAGACTTTCCTGTTTGAGCTGGCTTCAAATCTTGATTCTCAGATCTCAGCCTGCTGAATACCTAGAATTATAGGTATGAACTGCCTGGCACCTGGCCTCCATGATTTTTGACATGTGGTTTTGCTTCCTGCCTGTGTTTGCACCTAGGCACAGTCTACCTCTGTTAGCTTCCTAGTTCACAGGCCAGCCTCATTGCTCTTGTTTTCTGCCCGCCTGTGAACTACAATCCCAACAATCTCAGCCTCTCATGTAGCTAGCATGACAGACATAAACTATTGACACCCAGATTTTGGCAACTCTTATAAAAATCGGGATACTGGGAAAATCTATCAGCAAAGGAGAAGGAGAGGTAGCACAAATTTGCACAGAGGGTAAATTATTTAGAAGACATGTATTGCTTTAAAAGGAGAATGAACCTGAATCAGTGAAGAGAAATTGGATTTAGTTCCTGTATCTGATTAGGTCCAGGCCTGGGCTTTGACATACATATCACGTCTCAGGTGAATGCAGATTCCAGACACAGATTCACCTTGGCTGCCAAACAGGGAACTGTGGCAAGTGCACGCTCACTTAGCACTTGCTTGAGGCTCAGCTGGACAGTGATGAGTGTATGGATTGCTTGGTTTCTAGGGGAACCTATTCTTGCTATCAGGTGGGGCTGAGGTTTGCATCTAATATTCCATATTTTATTCTTATAAGAAACAATTACAGGGCTGGGAAGGTGGCTCAGTGGTAGAGTGCTCGCCTTGCATGCTTAAGGCCCTGGGTTCGATTCCTCAGCACCACATAGGCAGAAAAAAATGCCGGAAGTGGCACTGTGGCTCAAGTGGTAGAATGCTAGCCTTGAGCTGAAGAGCCGAAGGACAGCGCCCAGGCCCAGAGTTCAGGCCCCATGACCAGACCTCCCCCGCAAAAAAAGAAACCATTACAATGGGGGGAGGTAGGTGAGGTCATTGTCCTATACAGAAAGACTTGCTAAAAGTTTATTCTGAACCCACTTCATGAAGGCAAATAACCCCACTTCTGTCCTACCAAATGCTTCTCCTGCTGGTATGTTAATAACAAGTGAGGCTGCTTCCAGGATTGAGGATGACCTCAGAGCAGCGTGTTCCAGCACCTTCTTGTGACAGTCCTTCAGTCAAGTTACTTCTGCAATGCTTAATTTTGCACCCCTCCTAGAAAGGCATGCTGAGGCTTCCAGTTCATGTCTCATGCAGCCCTGGCCTCAGTCCATTCATTGTCTGGTACCTCATCCTCAGAAACAAGATCCTGTTGCAAAACCTGGAATTTAGCATCTCCTCTGATGCTAAATCATATTCAGCTCTATTAAAAAAGCTCTGAAGCCCGGTGTCATTACATGCTCATGCCTGTAATCCTACCTACTCAAGAGAGTGAGATTGGAGAATCATGGTTTGAAGCAGGAAAGTCGGTGAGACTCTTATCTCTAAGTAACTACCAAAAAGCTGAGGTGTGGATCAAATAGTAGAACACTGGCCTTGAGCATAAAAGCTAAGGAACAGTACCCAGGCCCTGAGTTGAAGCCCCAGGACTGGGACTCACACACACACACACACACACACACACACACACACACACACACACACTCACACACACACAGAACTCTGAAAAGCAACCTGCTACCTGTCAGGACAGGGACACCTTCAGCCATGACAGTGTCAGCAGACCTTGATAGAAAGCCTTTCTTAGAAGAGAGACAAGATACTTTCAGGTTCTCCTTTCTTAGTCATCAAGCCTACCTAGCATTTGTTGACTATCCATTGAAATGTTTTCAGTTCAGAAGCAGCTGATAAATCTCTTGATTTCATTTATATCTTATCAAAATGAAAATAAAATCACTATCATTGAACAGAATATAATTCAACAGACAATCCTCTCTGGTCCTGAGGACTTGCTGCCTGGCCTTACTGAGAAAATGAAATGTAAAACCCAGGGGGTTCAAGTCTGAATGTAAGGGAAGAGGCTGCCAGAGAAGTCTCCTTTCACAAGCCACTTCCCTTCCTTCCCTTCCCCTCCTCTCCCTTCTCTCTCCCTTTCTTCCTCCTCCCCTCTCTCTGTGGCAGTGCTGGGGATTGAACCTCTTGAGTCTTTTCTTTGCAAATCACTGTTTTGTGTTGTTTTGTTTTTAAACTTTCACACATGGTCTCTGGTCTGAGCATAAATTCACTTAGTGGCAGGGGCACCTGAGTTTTGAAGGGAGAGGAAGGTGAAGAGAGGACAGGATGCTAGTCGCCAGACTCTTAAAACAGAATCTTACCCTTTTTAGCCTGCGTAAAGAAATTGCTTCCCTCCCTCAATCCATCTAATTAATTAAATGAAGAAATCACAGTACCCAGAAGTAAACACAGTAATTAAATAAGCTAGACCTTAAATAAACTAAGAATGATTAGTCAGAACATGTTTGTAGGTCTGATTTGAACGGATGTGATGTTTTACAAGTGGAAAAGCTACCTTCCTTACTGTTTTTCAGATTGCAATCTTTCAAGAAAATATTTAACTGTTGGAGATTAAGTATATTCAAGGTAATTCTAGCTACTCAGGAGGCTAAGATCTGAGGATTGTGATTCAAAGCCAGCCTGGATAGAAAGGTTTGGGAGACTTCATCTACAATTAACTAGCAGAATGCCAGACTGGAGGCCTGGTTCAACTGGTAGAGTGCCAACTGTAAGCAAGTGGAGTGAAAGTATGAGACCTTCCGTTCAAATCACAGTGCTGTACCTTCTCCCAACGCTCCCAACAACATGCACATATAAGCCTCGTGATGATTACTGCAATCAAATGAATGAACACATTCATTTTAAACCAGGCTGCATACTAGAGCCCTGCCCTTGTCTGTCTTTTTTTTTTTGGGTCCAGACGTGGGGCCTGAACTCTGGGCCTGGGCGCTGTCCCTCAGCTCTTCAGCTCAAGGCTAGCACTCTACTATTTGAGCCACAACGCCACTTCCGGCTTTTTTTTCTTTTTGCTTATGTGGTGCTGAGGAATCGAACCCAGGGCCTCAGGCATGCAAGGCAAGCATTCTACCACTGAGCCACCTTCCCAGCCCCCTTGTCTGTCTTATACCCAGTTTGCACCCACTGAGCAGCATCTCCCCTCCCAATCTTCTCCAGTCTCTGCCAAGCGCTGTCCTCTTAGCTCCCATGGGCTTCACTTCTTTATATTCTAAAATAACCAGTGACACCACATAGCATTCATCTTTTTGTTCCACTTGAATTCTGACTTCAAGAACTTGAGCTATCCTGGAGCTAAATTCTAGTTGTTGGCAGGCAACAGTGGATATGCACTTCAGACCCACTTACTGTCCTCATGGTCTTGGTGTCTTAGAGTTTTGGAGACACATTCATGCTATAAACCCTCAGCTCCTAGGAGGTTCTAGTCCTTGGGCTGGGGAGTCAGGGGAGCCAAAGCTGCCCATGTCATGATCATGTCCCTTCACCCTGTCCTCTAAGGCTGTCAAAAGTCTACTCTACTCTCAATTTTGGGGAGTTTGCATTGTACACTATTCTATGTAGTAGTCTTTGCAGAATTAGTCCTTTCTCTTTCTCTCTCTGTCTCTCTTTTTTCCCCAGTCCGCAGTGTGAATTTAGGATTTTGTGCTGGCTAGGCAGGTGTTTTACCACTCAAACAATGCCCCCAGCCTATTTTGGTTATGTTATATTTTGAATAAGGTCTTGCTTTTTGTGAGGGCCAACTTGGGCCTCTATCCTCCTATATTTATTCATTATGTAGCTGGGATGACACAAATGCACCACAGTACTTAGATTTTTTTTAATTGATCAAGATGGATTCTTGAAAGTTTTTACCATAATTCTCCCAACCTCAGCCTCACTAGTAGCTGAGCTTACAGGTGTGTGCCATCATTTTTGGCTATAGTCCACTCCTTATAATCTTGAATGAATCTTCAATCGAGTGGCCAGGGTAATCTTTCCAAGATCAAATGAGAGTTGAACATTCCTCAGTTAAAACCTCTTAATGAGAAAAATTAACAGAATCTGTATGGCCAGGTATCTGCCCTGTACTACTTGACTTAATAACTTACTTATATCTAGTTTTATCAAATTAAAGTATTTCCCAAAAGCTTGTGGACAAAAACTGTTAGAAATAGTTAGTGGTGGTCCATGCACTGTGTGTGTGTGTGTGTGTGTGTGTATGTTTGTGCCATTTGTGGGGCCTGAATGCAGGTCCTGGGTGCTATCCCTGAACATTTTTGTACAAGACTAGTGCTCTACCACTCTAGTCACAGCTCCACTTCCAGTTTTTTGCTAGGTTGGTTTTTTTTTGAGGTAAAAGTTTTATAAACTTTTTTTTTGCTTGAGCGGCTTTGAAATTTAATCCTTAGATCTTAGCCTCCTGAGTAGCTAGGATTACAGGCAAGAGCCACTGGGGCTCAGCTATTAAATGGATTTTTGACTTACTATTATTTTCAGCTTATAATGGGTTTATTGGAATGCATCCTCAGTGTAAGTCAAGATTATATTTCCATTGTACAGACCTTTAAAGGCAAATCACTTGTTCCCAATCACACCCATTGGGTACATGGAGAAATTCTAGTTTATCTGATTCCAAGAATAAAGGACACCAGTTTACATCACAAGTTTCTGTTCTGTCGTCTCTGCCCCAAATTACCTGGGCCTGCACGTGTGGGGACAAACCCTTGCTTACCTACAAAACTCTCCTTCCAGCTCTGGAAGCGCCAGTGATGCCAGGGGGTTCTTCATAAGATCAGCCACCACGGGATCCTTGGCTGTCATGTAGAAGAAAGGGGTCCCAGTGCTGTTGCTGAGCGGGCCGTCACTGATGGCCAGGCAGCTCCCAAATGGCAGTCCTTGTATCTAGAAAACACCCCAGTAACAAGACTTTGAATTCCTGTGTACTGACAACATAGCATGTGTATGGAGGGGAAGGCATGGCACCATGGTAGCTGTGGGGGAGATAGCATCTCTGGAGGAGGATACTCAGCAGCGACATTCAGTGTAGAAATCACAAGATTATTCTGGTAGTAGCAAATACATCTGTTTTATTGAACTTAATGTTAGGGAGAGCAATGAAATTTATGAGGATGGGTGCTCTTAAGCCTTTCCCACAAACTTCCCCTCAAATACCCATCACCTTCACTGACTTCCCCAAAATTTTGGAAACTGGGGATAGAATTCTTAAATGTGTTGCTTGGCCTTTGAGTCTGGCAACATTCTCTTAGTGTGTGTGTGTGTGTGTGTGTGTGTGTGTGTGTGTGTGTGTGTGTTGGTCCTGGCCCTTGATCTCAGGGCCTGGGCACTGTCCCCGAGCTTTTTTGCTCAAGGTTGGCACCTTACCACTTGGGTCACAGCTTCACTTCAGCTTTTTGGGGTATGTAACTGGAGATAAGAGTCTGATGGACTGCCGGGCACCAGTGGCTCACACCTGTAATCCTAACTACTCAGGAGGCTGAGATCTGAGGATCGCAGTTCAAAGCCAGCCCGGGCAGGAAAGGCTGTGAGACTCTTCCAACTAGCCACCAGAAAACCAGAAGTGGTGCTGTGGCTCAAGCGGGAGAGTGCTCACCTTGAGCTGAAGAGCCCAGGGAAAGCACCCAGGCCCAGAGTTCAAGCCCCACAGCCAACAACAACAACAAAAAGAGTCTCATGGACTTACTTGCTCCTGCTGGCTTTGAAGCTCGATCCTTAGATCTTAGCCTCCTGCGAAGCTAGGATTACTGGAGTGAGCCACAGGTGTCCAATCTCTTATCATTTCTCTTAGGGCTACACTTTCTCATTTATTCATTATATTTTAATTGTAATCAATAGAGTTTTCCCAAACACTACTGGCACAACCTCCCAATCTTCCATGAGTGTCCTCCTTACAAAGTGCACCCACTGTTACTTAGCTCAGAATTCAGGGACAGTCTTGCAAGTGTGGCACAGCCTTAGTGTGTCCCATTGTAAAAGACAAGACTTCAACCTGTTAATAAAACATGTCAAGGATCACTCCAAAAGGGTAATAACATCATTCACAGACTCCTGCTTTGCATTCATGCAATGGCTTCTGAGTTTATTGAATTTGGGTTAAATGTCCATACTGGAAAGAGGAACTCCTAATCAAGATAAGGCAAAGTTTGTGGGAGTGAAAATACTGTATGTGTGTTTATGTGTGTATGTGTGTGGTGTGTGTGCATGTATGTGTATGTGCATGTGCCCACGCATGTGCCAGTACTGGGACTTGAACTCAGATTCTTGCACTTTTGCTTTTTTTTTTTTTTTGCTCAAGACTGGTGCTCTACCATTTTTGCACACGAGCCAGGGATTGTATGAGGCACTTTGCCTCTATTTCTGTTTAGGCCGGCTTCTAACTTTGGTGCTCAGATCTCAGCCTCCTGAGTGGCTAGGATTACAGGTGTGAGCCACCAGTGCCTAGCAAGAGTGAAATTGTCTTTACTACATGGGTGCAAGACAGTTCATTGTCTGGAAAGATATGTTTTAATCTAAGATTAGCTTTATATTTAAACTTCACATTTTCTTACAGTGCGTCTTAGGAGTGTAAGACACAACTAAAAAAAAAAAAAACAGGTGGTTGCTGTGACAATCCAAATGCTTAGAATCTGACACAAAGAGGTTAAGACCATTGCCACCATCATTGGACTAAAGTGGTCATTGCCATAATTTTGTAAGAAAAAAGGACTTCCCAAACCACCAAGCTAGCCAAGTACTGGTGACTCATGCCTGTAATTCTAGCTACTCAGGAGGGTGAGGTCTGAGGATCGTGGGTTCAAAGCCAGACTGGGCAGCAAATTCTATGAGACTTTTATCTCCACTGAACCAAAGGGGAGGGCGGTGGGAATGGGGGGAAGGGAGGAGGAAGCTGGAAGTGGTGCTGTGGCTCAAATAGTAGAGCACTAGCTTTGAGCAAAATAGCTAAGGACAGCCCTCAGGCCCTGAATTTGAGTGTGTGTGTGTGTGTGTGTGTGACCTGCCAAGCTAACACTTGGTTTTCCAGATGAAGAGAGGGGCCAGCGACTCAGTCTAGAGCTTGAGCAAAACCCGGCCCCCTGATCAATGCCCTAGGCATGCTAACACGATGGATCCTTTCTGCAGGAAGTCATGGGCCTTGCAGCGCGGTCCCCACTTCCATCCCGACAGCTCCGGAAGCCTGGCGAGGATCACTTAGCTGAGCTCCCGGCCTGCTTCCCCCCGCCCACCCCAGGCGGGCTCGGGTCTAACAGGTGAAGCGAACCGCAGGCGGATCAGAAGCCGCGCGCGGTCCGCAGCCGCTCTCCGTCTGGCAGCATCTTGGACCCTTGGCAGCCTTAGCCTCCCTTCCAGAAGAACTCCCGGAGCTCCATTTGTCGGAAGTATCACCGCTCACCACGGGCTTCGCCCACCCTGGGCTGGGCTGCCCGGTCAGGAAATGTGGGCGGCGCCGGGAGCGGGCACGAGCTGCGCTTGGCTCCTCTGTGATTCCACAGGCGACCGGCCGCTGGCTGGCCACACGCTGGTAATCCGTGCATCCATTCGGCCCTCTCCACACCGGAGAGCCCGGGCCCTGTCACCCG